GTGTGTGTGTGAGAGCACTCTGTCTCCACGGGGTGGGACATTAAGCGCAGAGGAGGATTTGTGCACCACATCCGAGTAACGAGCTGTGAAATTGACATTATGAGCTGTAATTATGATGAAGGCTCGCGGGTGGCTGCTGCTAACCGTCCTTGTGGGCAGCCCAGATGTATGTCCCCTCTTTTCCTTTTATTTCTTTTTCTTAATGTCTTGAGCCCATAAACAGTGGCTACGTGGCAGGGTCTGAATAAAGTACCTCCAGAGGGGAGCTCGTGAGAAAGAGAGAGAGAGAGAGAGAGAGAGAGAGAGAGAGAGAGGTTGTCACAGAAAGCTCTGTGGTAGAAAGGCGATGGGAACCGAGTAACCCACCACTCGCTCACTGGGGCAGGTTGGGAGGGCGGCCCCTCAGAGGGCCCCTGGGCTACCATTGCCACGAAACCAGCAGGAACCTTTTCCCTTCCCAAACTGATTGACTGATCTCTCTCTCTCTCTCTCTCTCTCTCTCTCTCTCTCTCTCTTATTTTTTATTTGAAAGGCAGAGTTACAAAGAGAGAGAGAGAGAGTGAGTGAGGTCTTCCACCCGCTGATTCAATCCCCAGTTGGCCTCAATGGCTGGAGCTGAGCCAATCTGAAACCAGGAGCCAGGAGCTTCTTCCAGGTCTCCCATGTGGGTGCAGGGGCCCAAGCACTTGGGCCATCTTCTACTGCTTTCCCAGGCCATAGCAGAGAGCTGGATCAGAAGTGGAGCAGCCGGGACTCGAACTGGTGCCCACATGGGATGCTGGCACTGCAGGCGGCGGCTTTACCTGCTATGCCACAGCGCCGGCCACTGGCTAATCTCATAAATGGATTTGGCAGTGAGGTGCCCAGAGGTGCCATTTCTAAATAGTTCCTAACCAAGAACCAGGCTCTGGCTGTTTCTGCACCATCTCCAGTTTTCACGTTTTTTGTTCTCCGAGATGCATCTATAAAAGGTTTCCTACCGGGACCAGTGCTGGGGCATAGCAGGTAAAGCCACCGTCTGCAGTACCAGCATCCCATATGGGTGCCAGTTCGAGTCCGGTTGCTCCATTTCCAATCCAGCTCTCTGCTGTGGCCTGGGAAAGCACTGGAAGAAGACCCAAGTCCTTGGGCCCCTGCACCCACATGGGAGACCCAGAAGAAGCTGCTGGCTCCTGGCTTTGGATCGGCGCAGCTCTGGCCGTTGCGGCCAATTGGGGAGTGAACCATTGGATGGAAGACCTCTTTGTCTCTCTCCCTATCTCTGCCTCTTTGTATTTCAAATAAATAAATAATTAAAAAAAGGTTTCCTACCGCCTGGTCAGGTGCTGTGTGGGCAGTGGGGAGGGCTGGGCAGAGGGCCGTCTCTCTGTCCCCATGCCCACTGCTCCTCCCTCACCAGCAAGAGTGTGGCTGCCAGACCATAGCCGGCGCCCACGTGGCACCACTGCTTGCTCTGTGCTCCTACCTCGCGTCACCAGGTGGTCCACCCACCCGGGTCTCAGCTGCTTAAGGAGCACTGGTCAGGGAGTATCCAGTGCCCGGGCTGCCTCTGCCCTGCTTCCCCTGGGGCCTCCAGCCCGTCCTGCCCTGGCATATACCCTAGGGGACCTGCTCCTCTCCTCCTCCTGGGACTGAGCCCCCAACTCGTCTCCTGAGTCTCTGTGAGGCCCGTCGGTTCATTGGGTTGCCACATCAGGTCTTTCTTTTCTAGCTCTCCCCACTCCTTGTTCCCATCCAGGCCTAACTCAGGACTAACCCAGGTTCCTTGGAAGTAACAGCACACACAGGGCAGCCACTGGGCGGGGGCTCTCCCCAGTGCTGGACGTGACTGGTGAGAGGGGCACAGTCGTGTTCCCAGGGGCATTAGTTGAGCAGGGGCTGGGGTAGGGGGTGGTAATGGACTTGGGAGAGGTCAGCCTGCATCCTGCTGGTCCGGGATACAGAGGAGGCTGTGTGAAGCTTCAGCCCCCAGGCCCTAGCTGCACACCCTTCTGCGAATGAAGATGCTGCCGACTGTGGCTGGACAGGCCTGCTAGGGCGACCTCAGCTGCCATGCAGAAGAGTGTAGACCCCCCCCCCCCCGAGGGCGGCAGGGAGCCACAGGAAGCAGCAGCGAGTTGGGCGCAGTGTTGTGTGTGGGTCCCCAGCACGTGGTGGGCTGATGGGACCCACTGTAAGAGGCTGGCACTGCTTGGGGCAGGAGCAGGGGAGGGGTGGGTAGTGGTAGAGAAAGAGAGGGGGCCTGGGGTCTCTGTGGCAGCTTAGAAGTCAAGTTGGCAGGATTTGAGGAAGGATGCTGTGACCTAGGCAAAGGCGAGGGGTGGGGGTGGGGGCAGGCAGGATAACCAGAGTCTCACTCACAGCCCGCATGAGGAATAGAGCAGGTGGGGCTCAACGGTGAGCTTAGCTGGCGTGACACCAAGTCCACTGGTCAAAGGAGGGTTGAGCACGGATTGATTGGCCAGTCAGGGCACAGAGGCAGGTAGAGCTGGGGTCAGGTGGCAGAGGAAGCCTGTGGGCCACAGTACACAGGGGGGCGGGGCCGGGGGTCAAGGCAGTTGTCTGCAGCCTGTCTGGAGAGTCTGGGACAGAGTCCCTTACAGGGTGAGGAGTGCGTGCCTCCAGGACCTGGGAAGACACCTGTGTGGCCCCTGCCCTGGGACCCAGGCTGCCTGGTGGGAAATGCTGCCGTTTCTCCCACCTCTCCTGGCCACGCCAAGTCCTGGCCACTGGTGTACTTACTGCAAATGGAGCTTGCAAATGACCCCTGAGTCAGCAGATCTAGAGAAATTTCTTGTGGGGAAGCCGGAGTGGGAGCCGGCAGCCTCTTCTCGCTGGCGGAGCTTAGGGGGTGCGGGGCTTGTGTTTGAAGAGCACGGGAGAGCCTGGGGAAGGGGCGAAGCTGGGAGGCAGTGGTCAGAGCTGGCCGTTCTTACTGTCAGTGGTAGCAGGAGCCACCCAACAGCCACAGAAAGCCCCTCGTGGAACCTGGCTTTGGAGTGCCAAGCTCTGGACTCGTGACAGGCAGAGTTGTCTTGGGTGCACCCAGCAAGGCCGACTCGTTGTCCAGCCCCATGGCGAGCTCTTTTTTGCTGTCCCTTGGGAACCTCTCCACTTGTGACTGTCCAAGCGTCTCTGTGTGGTCGCCAGGGAAAAATATTCCTATCACAAAAACAGATGTTACGTGTAGCTTTGAAACGAATGGTAGGCTGGCTTCAGACACAGCGAGAAAGCCACTCTGTCTCCTGTCTCTCCACCTGTTGACACTCTGGGCCAGGTAGTTCTCTGTTGCTGGGAGTGACCGGTGCCTTGTAGAATGATTGACAGCGACCCTGGCCTGTGCCTCCCACCTCCCAGTTGTGAAGACCTAAAATGTCTTCGGGTGAAATTGCCCCTGACTGTGAATCCCTGGGCTGGGGGCTGTCTGGCCTGCGCAGCAGGGGGTTCTAGCAGTGGCCTGCAGCCAGAGGTCTTTTCCAACCCTCTCTGAGCACAGCCCTTGGCTTGCAAATGACCCTTTTGCCTCCCCTCTCAGAAACCGGGAACCTGTTACGACCTATTGTGCTTTACACAGCAAAGATATCCAGAATGACTATTATTGGAAGCAAATTGGGTGGTTTTTTTTCCGCTCTCCGATTTTGCAATGGAAACTTCTCTGGCACTGCTATTTAATTGGTTAGTGGTGGCTGTTTGTCAGTTTGCCAGCAGGTCTCTCTTAACTGCTGTCGCTTGACACTGCTGAAACATAAGTGCAGAATGATTGAGTTGCCAACATGCCATTAAGTCCTCTGCAAAGAGTTTGCGATGCACTACAGCTTCGGGCTTTTGTGCTTCTATTGATTGATGCGGATACTAAAGAAATCCTTAGCCTGGGCAGTGCGGGTGGCAAAGCGCAGCTTCTGGTAGGAAAATTGGTGGGTATTGACCCAAGGACAATGCAGCAGCTTTTCTTTGGCTTTCCCCTAGCTCAGAAGGGACCGTCAGCGCGCTTGCTTAGTTAGCAGGTGTTGCCACAGTGCAAAAAGAACAGACCCTTGCAGCCAACCAGCCTTTATGCAAAAGGCCAATTAGAGGAGGCCTGGGAAGTGGGCGCTGACGTTGCATCAGGTCTCAGGACTGCTTGGCAGCCTCTGCATTTCTGAAGAGTAGAACATTGCCAAGAAATCTGCCTGGGGTTCGGAGCAGGCGCTTGTTGGAGGCCCAAGGTGGCTGATCGCTTTGGCGTGGCCAGGCCAACCTGACATGACAACATGACCCCAATGTTAAGAGGATATGCTGTTATGCCCTTGAAGTTGTACTTCCAGACCAAACTGCTGTCACAGCAGAAAACTGTATGTTGTGGCTTGGTTGGAGGGGTTGGGGGGGCAAGTCTGTGACCAGGGGCAGAGGGCCTGTTCCTCCACCAAGCTGTCCTTCATCTGGACATAGGGTGCTTGTACCAGGTGCGTGGAGTGGGCAGCCCTGCACCGCCGATGCCCTGTGGATCTCCCCTGCCTGACTTGAGACCCTACGTGAGCATGTCCCGAGTTGCTGTGAGGGGCAGTTGATGGGGTCTTTACCCCATCCTGTTCAGATAAAATCACCCGCAACCTGGGAGACTTTTAGACTCAAAACACTCAGATCCTGCCCCCAGTGGAAAGTGATTCAGTTCAGAGCAGCAGGTAAGAACATTCCGGAGCCCAGACGACCTGAGTTTAGATTTCACCTGCTGCTGGAAGGTGTGCACTTGGACGGGTCCCCTCCTCTCTTGGTGCCTCCGTTCCCTCTGTAAAGCAGGATACGTTCGAGCCGCCTTCAGCCGGGTGAGTGGGTTGTGTGGCCTGTGCCTGAGCTTGTGTGTGCTGTTTGGGGGAATGACTTTGATGGGGACGGCCTTATTGCAGTGGGGCCCCAGAGCTTGCCGCCTGCTCCCTCTCAACAAACAGAGAACTCTGCTGGGGCTCCCCTGGGCCCGTGGGAAGGGTCACACCCAGTAACCTGCGGTTGTATTCTGCTTCCAGAATCTCTCCCAGCCTCCCTACGGCAAAGCCCTCTACAGCTACGAGGGGAAGGAACCCGGGGACCTCAAGTTCAACAAGGGGGACCTCATCGTCCTGCGGCACAAGGTGGATGAGCACTGGTACCACGGCGAGCTGCGTGGCGCCCAGGGCTTCCTCCCAGCCAGCTACGTCCAGTGCGTCCGGCCCTTGCCGCAGGCCCCACCGCAGGGCAAGGCACTTTATGATTTCGAGATGAAGGACAGAGATCAAGACAAGGACTGCCTGGCCTTTACCAAGGTAAGGAGGGCCCTGTGTCTGTGCTCAGCTCCTCCTGCAGCCGGGGAGCCCTCGCCGCCCCGGCTTTGAATCCCAGCTCCTCCGTTAGGCGCTGGCTCCCATCCTGCACCTCCATGCACAGGGACAATGGTTGCATCTACGTCAAGGGTTTTGGTGAATGACAAGAGCTGACGCATGAGCCTGAGGTTGCACGAGCCCCCATGAGCATCAGTCTTGGACCCTTCTGGAGTGCATGGGTCATGGTTTTAAACATTGACTCCAGTGGAAGGGAAGAAAGTATTTCCTTGGGCTCCAAGCTGCTGCAAAGACCCTGGTAGCCAGGCCCCCAATCAGCTCCTCCCACCCTGGTCCCCAGGGCAGCAGTGGCAGCACAGAGCAGGGTGAGCCAGGGAGGCAGAGCACGGGGACCGTTTGAGGGGGTCGGGCAGGATGAGTTGGTGAACAAAGTGGTGTTTGCCAGTGGAGTTATCTGGCAGTGCCGAGTTGGGTGTTGTGAGCCTGGTTTCCAGCTGCCCAGGACTTCCCATAATTCTGTGCTGGGGCACTGTATCTTCACAGCTCTCTAAGCTTCCGGGGGGGCAGGAGTTGGAGCCTTGTCTCCTGCATGTGGGACTTCACCTTGCGGTGCTGGGTCCTCTCCCTCCCTGCCTTCTGCCTTCCGTCTCCAGTCTTGCTGTCTGCCATCCCTCTCTGCCCACCCCGCCCCAGTGGTAAATTCTATCTCAAGTCCCCGGCTTTAAAGCCGGCCTCCTTCCAGCTCCCTGCCTCCCGGCTCAATCTGCTGGTGCAGAAGCCGACTGTGGCACCAGCTCTCCGGGGGCTGCAGGAGGACCTGCTCCCCATCTGAGCAAAATTGGCCTGTCCTCCGTGCCTGCGTGGGGCTGCTATTTACGTCTTGTTCCATTGTTCCGCCTGACAGTGAATAATCTATTTTTCATTCAGAGATTCAATGCTTCCCTCCTTCCTTTCATCAAGGTGTTCTGCAGCTAATTCCTGTTGTCACCCACTGGTTCAGTCTCCCCCTCTTCCCCGAGCTGAGCTGAGCAGCCCGGGCCTCCCCCACCTCTCTTCTTCCCCTTCCCCCGCTCCCCACCCCTCGTCTCCCTCTCCCCACACATCAGTCTCTCACCACCCTCTTCCCCCTCCCCCCACTCACCATTCCCCTTCTCCCCCCCCACCTCCCTCTCGCCCCTGGAGCACAATGTTTCTGGCAGACAGAATCCTGTCTTCTGTGCCCAGTGGACTCCGGAGCACCTGCCCCGAAGAGGACTCTCCAGGAAGCACTGCTGCTCCGCGTGGTCCCTTGTGACCAAGGGCAGAGGTGCCCGGCCTCGCAGCGTCCTGTCCAGGCTGGGTCCTATGGAGACAGCTCCCGAAACAGCCCCAGGCTGCTCCAGCCTCTGCCTGTTCCCGTGACTCTGCCCTCCTCCTGGGCTTCAAAGGAGTCCCCCTGGTGAGAACTCATTAGAGTAGAGGGGCGACGCAGAGCCCCCGGGCTGCAGGCAGGTCCAGCTTTTCCCTGCACAAGCGCACGCCTGCCTTCCGTACCCACACCATAACCTGCTGTGGATGTGGGCTTCTGGCTGGGGCCCTGCCCTCTAGGTGGAAACCGGAACCCACCAGGTGACGGGACAAAGGAGCGCAGGGCTGACTCTGTGCTGAGCACTGTGGTCTGCCTGGGGACCACACAGACTCCTGCTCCCTATCACAGGCTGTTTTTTCTTAATTCTTCAAAAGATTTATTTTATTTATTTGAAAGAATTTTAGAGAGGTAGAGACTGAGACACAGTGACACAGAGAGACAGAGAGAGGTCTTCCATCTGCTGCTTCACTCCCCAGATGGCTACAATGGCCAGAGCTGGGCCGAACTGAAGCCAGGAACCAGGAGCTTCTTCCAGGTCTCCCATGTGGGTGCAGGGGCCCAAGCACGTGGGCCATCCTCCACTGCTTTCCCAGGAGCATTAGCAGGGAGTTGGGTCGAAAGTGGAGCAGCCAGGACTCGAACCACTGCCCCTGTGGGATGCCGGTACTGCAGGCGGTGGCTTTACCTGTTACTCCACAGTGCCGGCAGACAAGCAGGCCAAAGGCAGGGAGTGTGGTGTCCCCAAGCCCTGCAGCTGGCATCTGAGGAGCACTGCCATGAGGCCCCCATGCCTGCTGCCCTGGGGCCACCGCAGGGGAGAGCCCTGGGCAGCGGCCTTGCGGTCAGCCTTGATGCCTGGCTGTGTGTTGTGAGAGGGACACTCAGCCTAGCTGGTCAGGAGCACACCTGCTAGGGGGTATCCAGGTCTCCGTGGGGAGGTCAGGAGCTGAGCTGGGGTTTAGCATGAAGTGGGGGGAGGACACATTTTTCCTGTAGCAGCAGCTCCCTTTTGTTGTGTAAATCCTATTCAGCCACAGGGAGAGCGGCCCTAATCCAAAAATCCAAGGTCTGAAATGCTCCAGAGTCCACAATTGTGAGCCCCGAGGAAACTCCACACGTGGCCTCACACAGTCGTTGCAGTCCAACCACATACAGTTATTTAAACAGTGCATAAAACTTCCTGGGACTATGTGTGTAAGGTGTAGCTGGAACATAAGTGAGTCTCATTTACACTTGGGTCCCTTCCTCAAGCTATCCCATCGTGTATGTGCAGATGTTCCAATATCCGAAAAATTCCAGAACGCCAAGTCCTGCTGGTCTGGAACATTTTGGAGGAGGGGCGCTCGCCCTGTGTGTGCCTCAGCAAGTGTTTAGAGTCCCTAGTCTGTATCTCTCAGTTGGTGAGGACGCCCACGCGGGCTGTGAGACTCAGATCTTCAAAGGCGATGAGATTCTCCCAAGAACCGCCTGGCTGATCATGGAATCACTTTTGCTCGCACTTGTGGCCGGGACCACAGACTCCCTACGTGGGTCGGAATCCTCACTTTGCTGCCTCATGGAGGACCCGTAGGATCACGACAGACCAATCCCCAGCTCATACCCACCCAGCCCACTTGCAGCCCTCCAGGGTCAAAGGGATGCTCCTCATTGGCAAAATCGCTTGTAACGTCAGCACCGGGATTTGTCCTGAGCCACTCAGACCTACTGCTGGTGTGCCCCTAAGACTCTGCCATGTGATCTTCTTCAGGTCGTGGCTGAAATCTTAACCCCATTTCCCCAAAACTGTGGGGGATTGTCTCTTGTGAATTAACCCAGTCTTAACCCCAGACTACTCACTTCTGATCCAGGGGACAGACTTGGGTGGATAACAATCACAGAGAGGCAGAGTTTGGGCTCCAGAGTCAGGTGAGACTCAGATTCAATCACATTCCAACATTTTTATTTATTGTACAGTGAGTTGGGAACATTCACTTAGTCTTTGAGTCTATGTCTTAACTGTAAAGTAGAGTTGATATCAGAATTATATGAGGGCCCCAATTTTGAGAAAGAAAGGGATATCCAAGTACCGGAATCACATAGAACTCCTAATAGATGTGACCAGAAAAGATCATCCCACAACACATTGTAATCAAACTCTCCACAGTGAAACATAAAGAAAAGATTCTAAAATGTGCACAAGAGAAATGCCAGATTTCAAAAGATCTCCAATTAGACTCACAGCGGACTTCTCATCTGAAACCCTACAGGCTACATTACAAGTCTTCAGAGAAAAAAACCTGTCAATATCAACCAGAATATTGTACCCTGCTAAGCTCTCATTTATGAATGAAGGTGAAATAAAGACCTTGCATAACAGAAATTGAAAGAATTTGTCACCACCTATCCAGCTCTGCAGAAGATGCTTAAGGATGTACTACACACAGAAACACAGAAATATGGTCCTCACTATGGAAGAAGGTAAAGGAAGGAAATCTCCCAGTAAAACTGCAAAGGAAATCCAAAGTAAAAAAATGAGAATATTGGGGCCAGCATTGTGGCATAGTGTGTAAAGCCACCGCCTGCAGTGTCAGCATCCCATATGGGCACTGGTTCAAATCCTAGCTGCTCCACTTCTGATATAGCTCTCTGATACGGCCTGGTAAAGCAATAGAAGATGGCCCAAGTCTGTGGGCCCCTGTGCCCGCATGGGAGGCCTGGAGGAAGCTCCTGGCTCCTGGCTTTGGATCAGCTCAGCTCCGGCCATTGCAGCCATCTGGGGAGTGAACCAGAAGGTGGAAGACACCCCCCGACCCTGCTTCTGCCACTCTTTAACTATACCTTCAAAGAAATAAATAAATCTTTAAAAATGGGAATATTTATGGAAAAATGGCCGGACAAAGTTGTTACTTATCAGTAGTCACCTTGAATATAAATGGCCTCAACTCTCCAGTCAAAAGATACAGACTGGCAGAATGGATTAAAAAACAAAACCAGGGGCCAGCACTGTGGCACAGCGGGTTAATGGCCTGACCTAAAGTGCCAGCATCCTATATGGGTGCCTGTTCGAGTCCCGGCTGCTCTACTTCCGATCTGGCTATCTGCTATGGCCTGGGATAGCAGTGGAGGATGGTCCAGGTCCTTGGGCCCCTGTACCCACATGGCAGGCCCGGAGAAAACTCCTGGCTCCTGGCTTTGGATCAGTGCATCTCCTGCCGTTGCGGCTGACTGGGGAGTGAGCCATCAGATGGAAGACCTCTCTCTCTTTCTTTCTCTCTCGCTGTGTAACTCTTTCAAATACATAAATAAATAAACCTTTTAAAAAATCTATTTGTTGCCTACAAGAAACACATCTCACTAACAAAGATGCACGCAGACTGAAAATGAAAGGGTGGAAAAAGATATTCCATGCTAACAGAAACCAAAAAAGAACTGGTATAGCCATCCTAATATCAGACAAAAAGACTTTAACACAAAACTGTTAAAAGAGATAAAGAAGGGCACTATGTAATGATTAAGTGATCAATTCAACAGGAAGATGTAACTATTATAAATGTATATGCTCCTAATGACAGGGCACCTAGCTATTTAAAAGAGATGTTAAGGGATCTAAAGAGAGACTTAGACTCCAATACAATAATATTGAGGGACTTCAATACCC